AAAAAAAAAAAAAAAAAAAAAAAAAAGAAAAAATAATAATAATTAAAAAAAAGTGTTTTGGAATATATCAAAGGGTTAGCTGATAATATTTCGATGTTTAAGTTGTTGGATGATGAAAGTCCCCACGTCAGCTAATTTAGGAAATGATCATGGGTTTATAAGCGAGGAATACTAACTCCATTGGTATGAGGCCTTTTGGGAAGCCCGAAGCAAAGTCATGAGAGCTTATGCTCAAAGTGAACAATATCATACCATTGTGGAGAGTCGTGTTCGTCTAACATGGTATCAGAGCCATGTCCTAAACTTAGTCGTGCTAATAGATTGACCAAACCTCGAATGTCGAACAAAGGACTCCAAAAAGAAAAAAAGGAGTCAAGCCTCCTCGAAGGTACGAAGGCAGTCAAAAATGACTAAGACTCCAAAGGAGTCGAGCCTCGATTAAGGGGAGGCATGCTTTGTTCGAGGGGAGGTGTTGGATGATGAAAATCCCACATCGGCTAATTTAGGGAATGATTGGAGGCATGCTTTGTTCGAGGGGAGGTGTTGGATGATGAAAGTCCCACATCGGCTAATTTAGGGAATGATCATGGCTTTATAAGCGAGGAATACTAACTCCATTGATATGAGGCCTTTTGGGAAGCCAAAAGCAAAGCCGTGAGAGCTTATGCTCAAAGTGGACAATATCATACCATTGTGGAGAGTCGTGTTCGTCTAACATAAGTTAGTGGTGGACTAGAATTTTGATAGTAAAGGTAGAGATTTGTGATAGTCATATACTTGATTACGATATATCTGGTCCTCCTAGGACGAAGATTTTGTTTTTTATTGGTGAAAGGTAGCAGATATGAAAGCAATTCACGGTTATTTCAAAAATAAAAATATGCAATTCACAACAATCACTGTAAGATCTGCGTAAAGTACAAAATGGTAGATCTTCGTGGACAATAACCTAGATATATGTTAGATCCTAGAGTTCTATATAATCCCCGAGGATCGACGTGGCGTTTTTCTTCTCAGGAGGACACCACTATATGATAAGTCATGAGCCCATAATCAAGACCACATAGTTACCGTGTCACCGAATTAGATTAGCAAGCGATTTACACAACCTAGGTTGGATAAAACCCACCTCGACCACAACCTAGTTGGCCCTAATCAAGGCACACCCACGAGCTTTTAGCTTGTGGCTTGTCATACCCAAGACCTATTTGGGTCTCGTGCTAGGTTTTGATGGTCTCAAGGGTTGATGATCGAACTTTAGTTTAATTCATTTTGAACCCAGATTGGTTGTCTTAGCACCCTTTTTTTCCTGGACTAGAATTCACTCGTAACAATATTCAACACAAAATTAAAAGTTTATAGACCTATTAAACATTAAGGGACAAACCTCGTGATATAACTTAACTAAACTAATTTCAATGCTTACAAGTTGAGAATCAATGACACTACTTATTTTGAAAAGTTGAACTCGAATAGCTAGAAGTGTGAGACTCCATGTGAGTTGGAGAGAGGAACGAAACATTTTTTGTAAAGGTGTGGAAACCTCTCACGCGTTTTAAAATCATGAGACTGACCGTACGTAACGAGTCAAACCGAACAATATCAGCTAGCAGTGGACTTGGACGATTACAAAAAGAATATTACTTGACCTATCATCTTGGAAAAAACAAGTCGAGAAAATTTATGTAGCATGTTCTAAAAATAGATCGGTTAATGATTAATTAGAGGGAAGTAACCACCTTTAAAATTTTTGGCCATTCAACATAAAATTTAAATGTCTTTATTAAAATTAAATTAGGAAAATAGTTAGAGGTCATAACACGTTACCATTTTTCTTTTTTTCAAAGTATTTTAATTAAATAATTAATGAAAATTTTAAGTTTAAAATATTATTAAAAATTTAATAATATTTTTAAAATAAAATATATTTTTAAAAAATTTTAAAGTTTAAAATATTACTGAAGTTTTGTAAGGATTTAAGCGTTTTTTTTTTAATATATAAAATATAAAATTTATATGTATTTTTATTAATTTAGTATTTAATAAATAAATAGAAAACCCTAATTACGTCTGTAAAATCTGTCGACTTCCATGGAGGGATAAATACCTTAAATTTAGGGTTTTATTGGTGAAACGAATCCGGAGGTTGAAGACAATGGCGAAGTTCAATGTAGTTCAGAAGCAGAGACGAGCTCATATAGCTCAGAGTAAGAGGAATGCCCATGGTGATCCCTTAACGAAGAAGCTAAAGATCAAGCAACAACCTACTTATGTATCCAGCAAGCGTAAGCGCAAGTTGATGCAGAAGAAACGCAGAGTATGGTTTCTATAAGCTTTGCGCTTGTTTCTGCGTGTGAATTTCTGCTAAATATTTCAATTAAAAGTATCTGTGTTGCGGATTGATTGTTCTTTTTCTTTTTTTTTTTCTTCGCTTCGTACTAATTACAGGAAGAGAAGGAAGCTTTACGGATGGGTCTGACGAACATGGAAGATGTTGAAATGGCTGTTGCTGAAGGTAATGATTTCATACGCGTAAAATGTGGATTATCGGGATGCTTTTGCTAATTTCACATTTGGACTGTTCCTTCAATTGTCAACTTCCCGTGGGGTTTTCCTTCCATTGTTAACTTGTTGAAGGAGCTGTAGGAGATCTTTGTTGAGTATGTTAAATTCATTTTCCCCTTGAAGTCACTTTAGGAATTCGGTTGGTTTTAAGCATCGGCCTGGTCCAATAATTTTACGAGTGACCAAATCAACAGAGTCAATTTTGGTTAGATTACTGTCCTCAAATTGCTAGAATCATCTAAACATAGATATTCTACACATGTTATAAGAAGTGATGTTTGAATTTTGTGAGTTTAAAAGTGGGAATTACTTGATAAAAAAAACTTGGACCATCTGTTTTAGAGTGATTCTGAAATCATTAAAATCACTATTATCCTGCTCAAAATCACTCTAATCATGCTTTGAACCATAGAAAATCAATTTAATGTTTGATTTTACACTTTTGAACCTGATTTTCGTATCATTAAAATTAATTATGAATGATCAAAAACATGTTTTAGAGTGATTTCGAACATAAAAAAGTGATCTTAACCATTTCAAAATTACTCCCAAATATGCCATCAAAGTCCCTATGACTTGTAGCTACCTTGGCATTTTTTCTTGCTTGCTTCCTCAATCAATGAAACTTGTTAAGTAAAGGAGCAGCTGTCAAGTTGGGAAGATATATTTCCAAATGCTTTGTGTCAAAGGGAAAAGGATTGGTTTTGTGGTACCTTGATCTTTCAATCTAAGCCAAGTTGGTGATAGGGTTGTGTTGAAGAAGTCAAATATATTTTACTAGGCACTGCTTTTGAAAAAATATACATACATACATACATACAGACATACATACATATGTATATATAATAAGAGGGAATCCAAGCACCAAGCCACGAAAAGTTGCTTAGAACTCTTCCAATTGGCACATGGATCATTTAAACTATAGTTGCTGAAGGGGATATATAGTTTACACGCAATAGCCACAAAAGACAAGTTATCAAAACAATATCAAAATTCTTCTCGATGTTGTTTATGTTCTGTTATCTGTTTCCCAAGATTCCAAAAGAAATCTCAACTACTTGAGGCCATAGAAAGAATATTTTTCCTTGGTGAACGGTTGACCTGTCATGAAAAAAAATGTAAAAGGGCCTTTTTATTAGATGGGATAGCCATGAGAAATAGGGAATCTTCTTTCCCATTTTGCAGTTTGCTTGTGATCTTTTACTATGCTTGATTTACTTACAGGACGCTCCTTCACTTATACTGAAATTTAGAACTAATAGTTGGAAAGGTGATCTATAGTGCAACGTTTTGTTGAGCTAGTAGTCCTTGCGGTCTCTGTATGTGTGTGCACGTGTTTGTGCATCGGATCTTTGGATTCAATAATTTTTTCTACCCTTCACATTTTGGACCACTTTTGGCATATTTCCCACATGCTACAAAATGCTTGTGATTCTTGTAAAACTGATTGGCTATCATTTGTCTGATTTATAATGTGCACAATGTTGGTTGGATTCCGATGAACAGTGGATGAATGTATCAGAATTGACAATTGGGTATTTTTATATTTTGTGCAAACATATATCTCAAAGTACTCCGGCCCCCAAAGTCTTTCTTTACCCACTCTCAATTTGGTATATGACCCATGAATTAGTTGTACAACTTGATTGAACTAGTCTTCACTTTTTGTGCTCGATTTATTCGCTTCGGATAAGACTTTTCGGTTGCTATGATGCAGAACTTAAAAACACCAACGGGACGTCAACCAAGTTTCGTGTGAAGAAGAGTGTCAGGCTCCGGCAATTGAAGAGCAAAGGCAAGTTTTGTCTATCTACAATATTTCTCTTCTCTTATTTTGTACTACTTACCAATAAATGTACCAAATTTTTGGAATGTATAGGCAAGAAGAATAAAGGGAAAGGTTCTTCCAGTTCAGGCTCTACAGCATCAGGCGATGCTATGATAGAGTAAATTAGGTGACAAAAGAAAAAGCTTCACTTCTATTGTAATATCATATTTGGCTCATATTAATGGCTACCATGCTGCAATTTTCCGTAGCTTTGCAGGCAAAGGTTCTAACCGAAAGTTAATATCTTGACTGAATCCTAAAAGTATAAGGTTGTAGATTGCACTGAAAAAGAAACACAACCAGATGCTAAATGTTTCCAAATATTGTTTGATTCTATGAATGTTTTGATTGATTTTTGTACCATGTATATGTAACATTCCAATTCCATTAAAACGCCTCTAATAGTGAGAGGTTTTCACTCCTTATATAGAATGCTCCATTCTTTTCTTCAATTGATGTGGGATCTCACAATCCACTCCATTCGGAGTCCAACGTCCTTGTTGTTACTCGTTTCTCTCTCCAATCGATGTGGGATATCAATCAAAATTCTAATCTGCTTTAGAAAACTCAACCATTGAACTAAATGTAGTTTGCATACTCTTTTCAGTAGGGAACTATTCAACCATTAAACATAGGACAAGCTTAAGAGTTTGTTTGGAATGACTTTTCGAACTTTAATTTAATGTCTTTGACATTGATTTGATTTTCGAAGAAGAGATGAATCAAGAAACAAATTCCCTCTTAATTTCAAGCCGAACCACTACAATTCTCATTCAAATCAACAAGGTCATCTGATGGCACTATTACAGCATACCAAGCAAGAAGATACAGAAAAACAGAAGGATTTCAGAACTGAAGGCCATGTTCACGAGCTGCATCAGCAAGTGCTTCTACACGTCCATGGTATGGATATCCACCTCGGTCAAAAGCTACCTTTGAAATTCCTTTCTCCAGACAAGATTTTGCAATCGCTTCCCCCACTTTCTTTGCCACTTCCTGTAACCATATTGTCCACATATAATCATATAATATGCCTTAAACTTTCCCTTGTAATTCTACGTAGCCTTAAGCGCGTGCGACGTGTTAAATCAGTCAATATTTGTTCAAATTATAGGCCACATTGCTATTTAATCAACCGTGTTAATGTAAGAGAATGCATAGAATAACATGAAAACTAAATTTATAATTTGTTTGATAACTTAACTCGAGGGCATTCATGAAGAACTTATTCAAGTAAGCGATGTACAATAACCAAAACTCAATACCCATGCAAAGACATTTTGTGAGATCTCACATCGGTTGGGGAGGAGAACGAAACATTCTTTATAAGTGTATGGAAATCTCTCCCTAGTAGACGCGTTTTATAAACCTTAAGGAAAAGCCCGAAAGGGAAAGCCCAAAAAAGACAATATTTGCTAGTGGTGGGCTTAGACCATTACAAATGGCATCAGAGCCAGACACTATGTGATGTGTAAGCTAGGAGGCTAAGCCCCAAAGGGGGGTGAATTGGGGGGGTCCCACATCGATCGGAGAATGGAACTAGTGTCAACGAGTACACTGGACCCTGAAGGGGAGTGGATTGTGAGATCCCACATCGGTTGGGGAGGAGGACGAAACATCTTTCATAAGGGTGTAGAAACCTCTTCCTAGCAAACACGTTTAAAAAACCTTGAGAGAAGCCTGCAAAAGAAAGCCCAAAAAGGACAATATCTACTAGCGGTGGGCTTGGACGGTTACACATTTACACATTTTCTTGGACGGTTACACATTTTCTGGGCACTTATCCAAGTCATTAGCATAATCTCACCCAATTTAGTGGGCTGATTTGAATGATGCTCTCTTATTAAAAGAGGGAAGAAGTTCTACATAGGCATCAACTCAGTGCAATAAAGTTTGGAAGCCAAACATGATTCTGCAAGTAAATAATCGAACCCAGCAAAAAATGATCGGTATATCAATCACATTTGATTCTTAGTTATAGTGAACTCACAATGGTAGGACCAGCAGTGTAGTCTAGCCCCTCGGAGATCGATTTCTGCATCGTGGAAACTGCAGCAAGCGTATGCATCTTCGAGTCATCGATAACTTGTACATACAAATGCTTGTTCGAACGGAACACAGACAACCTTGGCCTCTCTGATGTTCCTTCAACCTGAGGCACAAGATGATTGTACAGGTAAACTGTACTTTATTATCTACATATATATCAGCAAGAATCAATTTGCTATAGTAAAGATAACAACTGTGAACCAGAGCTGAAAGGATCCAGATGTTTACAAGAATGAAAATTAAAAAGATTCAATTGATTGCGTAACTAGGTTCATAGATATTTATTTAACCGTAACTAGATGAATTTAAAAGATTTCGAGTTGAAGAGAGGTCCTATGGCATGAATTGAATGTCACCTGAATGTCACCTTCCCTAGCGTCATATGCAGGTCGAGGATACGTAGTGTTTTGTTTGGAGTTTGTCCTCGCTAAGTGTAGCCTAAGCAATCTCCCAATACAACGAGATTCAACAACTAAAGATAAAGCTAACATGCAAGAAAGCTGTGAGATTCCACGTCAGTTAAAAAGGGGAACGAAGCATTCTTTATAAGGGTCTGGAAATCTTTCCCTAACAGATGCGTTTTAAAAACCTTGAGGGGAAGTCCGGAATGGAAAGCCCAAAAAGGACAATATCTGCTAGCGGTGGGCTCTGGTTGTTACAAAACCTGCAATCAAATTCCAATCCACGAGAGAGAGAAAAACGCTTCCCAACCTTGTATGTATCAGTAGGAATGAGAAAAGAAAAGAGTCAATCTCACAATCTCCCCCATTGACAATGACTGCCTCACCAATCTCTTGTTCTCTTATTCTCCTGCCTCTCATCAACGCCAATATTTCTCCTTAAATGTTCTAAATCCTTGCTTCATAGAAAATAGTGTGAATAAACTTTATCCAGTAGCTTGATAAATCAAAGCGTCTGATTTAAACTAAACCTCCTAAATCTCATCCAGTTCCCACAATCGTAGGAAGTCCTAGTGCTTGCACGTGAGATCTCACATCGGTTGGAAAGGAGAAACAAGGCATTCTTTATAATGGTGTGGAAACTTCTACCTAGCAGACGCATTTTAAAACATTGAGGGAAAGCTCAATAGGGAAAGTCCAGCAGTGGACTTAGGCTATTACAAATGGTAACAGAGCTAGATATTAGGCAATATGACAGCGAGGACGTTGAGCCCCAAAGGGGGATGGACATTGAGCGGTGTGCCAGCGAGGACGCTGGAAACTGAAGGGAGGTGGATTGTGAGATCCCATATCGGTTAGAGAGGAGAACGAAACATTCTTTATAAGGGTGTAGAAACCGCTCCCTAGCAGACGCGTTTTAAAAACTTTGAGGGGAAGCCGAAAGGGAAATCCCAAAGAAGGCGGACTTGAGCTGTTACACTATTAATCTTCAGGACTCATGTATTGGCCAAATGCACCTCTAAGCTAAAGTGGAACAATATCCACACGGAAGCATCAATTTCTTCTAAGAAACAAGTACACCTCTTAGCTAGTAGAACCAGAACTTCTAAACTCAAGAAACAATGAATTAATGAACTATCAAATCAATCCTTAGGAGGTTCACAATATTTATACCTAAAATGCAACAATATCCAGATAAGATAGGGTAATAAGATGAAAGCCAGATACGTACATAGCAAGAATCATTCAAATAACCTACCACCATGTCCAGTGAAATTATTTGAGGCATATAACAAAGTTGATCAAGAGAATCGCCCGATTAGCGCAGCCATAGACGCTAAGGAGGGAAGGCACTAAGTTTAAAATTGGGGAAATGAGGTATGCGATTACCTTCTTCCTGATGCGAGAATGACGAGCTTGACGATCCTCTCGTCTGGTCGTAGCCTTGGCTTGGACAGCAAGAGAGTGTTGGCCGGAACTTGAGGTGGTTGCCGGAAAATTAAGCTGAAGACGATTGCGAAGATTCTGTGAGGAAGAACGGCCGAGAAAGGAACTTCCAAGGAACGATAAAGGAGCAGTGGCTGAAGACATTGTCGTCCTCGTTCTCTCTTCTTCCTCTTCTTCTTCTTCTTCCGACGGCTTCTGGTTCGTTTTCTTTTTCCTTCTTCCGTTGGGGTGCCTTATCCATAGGTGTAGCTGTTTAATACCAAATAATAATAATAATAATAATAAATAAATAAATAAATAATAATAAATAAATATCCAAGGGTCAATGTCTTTAGTGGCACAATGCTCGGTGTCTGGCTCTAATACTATTTGTAACAGCCAAAGTTCACCGTTCATAGATATGTCCATTTTGGCCCGTTATGTATTGTCATCAACTTCGCAGTTTTAAAACGCGTCTTTGTTCTCTTATCCAATCGACGTGGATCTAACAATGACTACCCAAAAGGTTCGATAACTCAGCTAAAACCGTTTTGGTCGAGTTATAAATTTATTTGTTTTAAGTTGATTCGTGCGTTCCTCTAAAATATATTTTTGCTTTAATTATTTATTCTCATATATTTTTTTTTTAATGTATTTAAAAGGTGATTTTCAAAAATATAATATTTTAAAATTATTAAAAATATTTTTATTTGGTTAAAGAAGTATCCAAAATTAATTTAGTATTCGATTATAAGAACAATGGAACTAAAAACCTGAGCTGATTGAACGTTATCCTCTTCGAACTGGCGGTGAATAAATTGTAGAAGTTGAGAGAGCATTGTGCGGTATTGAGTTTGAGATTTTTGCAGGCTCACCATTTCGATCTTCAGAGCTCCATTGTCGCTTCCAGATTTCCAATCGAAAGGCCATTTGAAGAAGACGATATACAGTGCATATATTCAATCCAGCAGCCATCCGCCGGACGCCGGCAATGGCCAGGGCTCCCATTCACACTCCGGCCAACTTTCTGACCTCTCGAAGTCTCGAACCGTGCTACTTGAGACGCTATGGCTGCCTCCGCCCGCCATTTCTGAGCCAGACGCTACGGCCAGTTCCCGCAAGCAAGCTGGTGATTGTTCGTGGTTGTGTAATCGCCGGTTACGCTCGCAAGTCGGTGGATTCTGATGGATTTGATCAGCTCACTGATGATAATGACTTCACCGTATATTCCTCGCACGAATTGCCTTACGATGGAGATGTGACAGTTGATAATGAAGGTGCTTCTCTCTAGAATTTTTGTTTAACTTATTTCTGTGCTCAACGGATAAATATGGAATTGGATGCTTATTTTATGTTTACTGGGATTTATCCTGTAATTTATCTCTATCTTGTCTACGAATGCGAGGTTCTCCCTTTATTCTTAACCCTGTTTCTAGCAAGTAATCTGATCGAAGTTCTTTAGTTAAATTGGTCATTTTCTTTCATATCTATGCTGATAAGATGTTGTTTATGGTCTGAGGAATATGTTTGAGTGAAATTATTACCCAACTATTTTATGCTATAGAATCTTGTTTTATCCAATTGAATTCTCAAACAGAGTTTTTATTGATAAACAGATATTAAGAATTCAGGAACACCGAGAAGGATATCAATTGGAAGACTTGGAAGATTGAAATCTCAGAAAGTTAAGGCAATTGTGATGAAAGGTTCTAGGACAAAGGAAGAAGTAAAAGATGATGTTCGTGTACTGACTTCTGGAAATGGTTCACCGCATATATCCGATCGTCCGCACTCTAAAGTTAAAACTCCGGGAGAAAAGAAGAAGGTAAATACCTTAAGAAATGTAGAAAGATTTTCAAGATCATCTGAACTGCAAGATAAAGGTCGACATCACAGAACTCCCCCCAGTTTATCAAGATCCGAGCAATCGGTCCCGGCAGCTTCTGCCACTCACTTCAGAGGATGGGGCTCTAGAGGGCCCTACGATTCAGAGTATGAATCAACCCAACCTAAACAACAGAAGTTTTCCTCAGAGAAGGGCTTTTATAGCCGAAAGTCATTTAAAGATCTTGGGTGCACTGAATATATGATTGAGTCATTGAGGAGGCAGAATTTCCTACGGCCTTCACAGATTCAGGTACATGATGTATTACATGATAGAATTATGCTTCTGCTTATCATGAGTGAAAAGACATTTTTCTCATCAGAGAATTTACGTAGATTTGTTATGATAACTGCTACAATTTCATACCTCATGTTTTTCTAATTTCCATCAAAAGATGTATCACATCTTGCGGCCATCTCATTTAGTAGCAGTTGAGCCATATTCGTTTGTGGTTCCTGGTACTGTGTACCCTTTCCTTGCCGTTTCTCTTTAGTCTGTCTTTTGAGGCACACTCCTTATTCCAGTTTACTAGTTTATAGCTCTTTTGGCTTCTTCGAGAGTTCGTTTTGATAACAAATTAGATCTCTTGGGTTGAAGGACAAGTTTGGCTCTACTTACATTGGTGGATGCCAGACTTGCTCTTGGATGACAGTTCATTAGATATGTCAAAACCACCTTTCTTTTGTGGTTGGTCTTATTGGCATCATTGTGCACTCGTATTAAAACTTCAGTGTTTAGAAATGGTATTCTCTTCTATATCCCATCTCCTGGTATCCTATGTCATTTCGTAATTTGTGAAATGGAAGAACCACTATGGGTTGGTCTAGTGGTCAATAAGGCGAGGTAAATATTAAAGAGTTTTAGGAAATGATTGCAAGCCATTATGACCACCTACCTAGGATTTAATATTGGACGAGTTACCTTGACAAATAAATATAGTAGGGTCATGTGGTTGTCCTGTGAGAATAGTTGAGATGCGTGCAAGTTGGCTCGCACACTCATAGACAGCAAAAAAAAAAAAAAAAAAAAAAAAAATAATAATAATAATAAATAAAGTAAAGAAAAGAAATGAAGTATTTGGACCAAAGATTGTGCATTATCTTTGGGTAGTATTTTTGTTTTATTTTTATTTTTATTTTTATTCAAGTTAGTTCAGAATGCTGAATGGCATCATTTCATTTTAGGTGGATTCAATACTTATATTAACGCTTAAGAGGATGTGTACAAGTATTCTAAATCAGATTGGAGTAAATTTTGTAGGTCGATTAGTTTAAGTTTTTCATGAGAGGATATAGTGACCACTAACGTTGTTTGGGATTTCGGAGGAAGGAAAAATGCCTTAGTTCTAAATTTTGTTTGAACTAGCATAGAACAATGCAAATTTGGAGTTTTCGGATAATTTATTGAATGTTTGATTTAATATCCAAGTTCCTCTGTTATCTTTATATTTATATTTTGGAAGACCGAAAAGTAATGTTACGGCATCTGGCGGGTGTTTAATTTCAAGTAAATAGCATTAGAGAAAACAGAATGTCGTTTCCATTGTTGGGATACTAAATTAATATGGTGATCTATGAAGATTGATTTGTTCAGTTTATAAATTTCCTATCTAGAAAAGAAGTATCTTATTTTGTTACAAAGAGTTATAAGAAATGCAACTATCACAGTGCTTATTTGTGCTTCTATATGAATAATGAATAATGGCAGGCCAAGGCATTTGCATCAGTTATTGAAGGAAAAAGTTGTATCATTTCTGATCAAAGTGGATCTGGTAAGACATTAGCATATCTTGCACCATTAATCCAGCGTCTGAGGCAGGAGGAACTTCAAGGACTTCAAAAACCTTCTTCACAAAGTCCCCAAATTGTTATCATTGTGCCGACTGCAGAATTGGCTTCTCAGGTGGCTTATTATTGCAGCATTCTTCGAAGTGTGCTCTGCACACTTCTTCTATTGCACATTTCCTATACCATTTTTATTTTATTTTAATGTTTTACCTCGGTTATTTATTTCAGGAAATTCACTTTTGTATGAATGCATTTTCTGTCTTGTACTCACTATCAGATTCTGCTTCGGATTAACACGTGTTTGCCATCAACTAAGACCTATGAATTTTCTGTAGTAAAAATCTAAGTACTGGATAAATACTTTATATACCTGATATGAATAACTTTCTCATGTTATGGAACAATGGGTAAAAGACGATTTTGGATTTTCTCATTGCTAGCCTCTAATGTAGGCCTTAATAACCAATTCTGCTTTATTAAAATCATAACAATTCTGCCAGTATTTTTCTTCATTGGGTGGGTAAAGTTTGATAACGCTGTGAATTTCTCAGGTCTTAAGTAATTGCCGATCCATTTCAAAATTTGGGGTGCCATTTAGGTCAATGGTTGTGACAGGCGGTTTCCGGCAGAAAACTCAACTTGATAATCTACAAGAAGGTGTTGATGTTCTAATAGCAACTCCTGGTCGTTTGATGCTTCTAATAAATGAAGGCTTCTTGCAGTTATCAAATCTAAGATGGTAATCCTGTTCTAAATTTTCTTTTTGTTACTTTCTGTTAACTGTTATGTCTCCCTTCAATTTCAATGGTAGGTCCTAATTTATTTTGACATAGTAAGAATGTTTTCTTTAACTTGATTAAGCATTCTTCTTTCAATTCAAGATTTTGAATTTACACAAACATCAACCGAAATATTTTTGCCAGAAGTGCCAAATTACATGATTTTACAATGTATTTTTGGAATCATAATTTTTATGTATTTATTTATTATTAGAGTATAAAAAAAACACAGGATAGAAGTCTGGATTCTCATGAAGGTCCTTGAGATTTTTTTTAATCGTAATATACTTCAATATGCTATTCAGATGATGATTCAGTTATTGCTTCTTAGTGGCTGATCTTTATACATATTAACTGACCTAGTATGCTGGTGTCACTGAATATTTGTCCTCTGGAGTTCGTTGAAATTATGGTTACTTTTTCTAACTCCTACCTGCTTCCCCCAGTGCAATCATTTCCTGCTTTCTGCTAGAAGAGTTATGTATATGATGTTTTACTTGTACTGATACTCAGAACAACCTTGTACTACAGTGCTGTAATGGACGAGGTAGATATCCTCTTTAATGATGAGGATTTTGAAGTTGCATTGCAGACTTTAATGAAGTCTGCACCTGTTAACGCACAATATCTATTTGTGACTGCAACTTTACCCGTTGACATATATAATACATTAGTAGAAAAGTTTCCTGATTGTGAAGTGATCATGGGACCTGGAGTTCACCGGATAAGTCCTAGTCTGGAAGAGGTTGGTCTTTAATCATTATCAGTTCATCATTTTTGTGCTTTTCCTGAGCAATCGGTGATCAATC